TATACAGAGACATACATATACTGTGTGTGTGTATACAGAGAGAGAGAAACAGTCTCACTTCTTGCCCATAGTGACAGTGACGTAGTCGGTCACAGCTCTGTAGACTCTGTCAACACGGAAGCAGCGCAGCAACAGCAGCTTCTGAAAGGCTGACAGGTTCTCCTGATATTTCATGGGGAATGGAGCCTGTTCTGGTCCGTCCAAGTCATACCACTGAGGTGGGGACAAAAGAACGAGTTTTAAACTCATCACCAAGCAAAACACCTGCAGTGAGACCTGTGTCACTATGTTCACTTACAGACTTCCAGTCAGCAGAATGTTTCTCCACGTCATCAGGCAGAGAACCAAACTGCTCAGGAAAGAGCTCTGCGAGTTTCACTATGTCTTCCCAGCCCTGGTCTGGAAGCCAGTCACAAGGCTTTTTGCACTCGCTCTTTTCCAGGGATAGATTACCTTTACACAGGAGGTGGAAAAACATTCACATTTTCTTTGAACATTGGGTGCATACACATTTTTGTGTCCCTGAGTTCAACTTCTCTGGATATCTCACCCTTGATGAAGAACTCCAGCTCTTCCTGAAGTGCTCTCCCTTCTGCCTGCTCGATCTTGATGGTCATGTTAAAGGAAAAGAGCAGCTTGTGTCTCTCAAACAGACCTAAGGATGTGATGTCAGTTCAGGTTATAAAATTATACCAAATAGTGTGCTTTATCAATTGTTTTTGTGATTTAGTATCATTTCTCATTACTGTACCTGTGCAGCCATAGTTATAAACGCTGTATGTCAGAGTGGTCATGATGTTCTTCAGTCTCTGGGGCAMAACAGAGTCAGGCAGAGATTTGCGCAGTGAAAAGTCAAACACTTGCAGGTAGGAGGCCAGAGAGTACTGGTACATGCTGTTGACCTGAGCCATTTCTGTCAGCACAAAGAACAGGATAGCACCACGCTTGGCAGCTGGTCGGTAGCAGTCTCTGAGTTTATCAATGTCCACAGATGTCTTCTCAGCCAACTTGAGTTTCTCAAATACCTGATGATCACAAAATCAAATAAAGAAATTAAATAAGATGAATGACCTMATTGAATTTGCTGTTCTTCATTCCATTGTTTGCTGCAACCAAACTGACCTCACTGGCTTTTGACTTTGTTTCCTCCAGTGTGCGAACCAGCTCAGTGTTATCCAGTATGTTGCCTGTACACGAGGCCAGCTCTCTGAGCAGAGAGTCCCCAAGGTTCTTCAGCAGCTTCTTATTGTTGCTTGTTTCCTGGATCAGATCCTCACGCTGCTCCTCCAGCTCCTTCTTCTCAAAGCCCATGATGACACTCAGCAGCTGGTCCTCCAGACCCTTCAGCGTCACTACATGTAACGCAGACAAAGGTTTTTTTTTAGACCTGCTGTTTAAATGTTACAGACAAAAACTATTGTTGCCATGCCAAAAGATCTTACCAGTATAATTAATGACCATAGCTTTTCCAAACACTGATGGGTTATATTTGGGGTTTGCCAGTTTGGTGTTGAGATAAAGTTTAAAGTTGGGATCATAGTCCACCTCCTTGTCACCCAGCATGAGGACCTGTCTGCCCTCTGCTCCTTTGACATTCTTCTCCAGGACATTGTCAATCACAGGGTCGATGTACTC